GCTGTTCGACTATTCCTCCCCCACCAAGCCCTGAGCCATGGAGCGGGACGCGAGGATTAATAAGCCCGTTTACGTAGAACGGTGTATAACCGATAGATGAATGCACTGCTTTGTTCAGAGCAAACTACGAGTGGCAACATAGCGCTCCAGCGCTTCGGCTTCTTAGCGCAGACGCCGCATAAACGTCTTTAAGATCGCAATTCACGCTTTCAGTCTGACTGGGTAGTTCCTCTCCGCAGCCTCAAGCTGGCGAGATTCGAACGCGATCACCCGATCTCGCACCTCGGCGTCTGCTTGTACCAGTGCACAGCCATGGCAAAAAGTCCATAACGTCACAGACGACACTAATAGGACGATTGGGGTATGGCAACATCAGTATTAGTGCATGAAGGAGGCTGTCTTAAAGCTTTCTGGTGCTCGGTGTCCCAACACCATTCTTTATCCTTCCGAAGGAGATTCGACAATGGCCGTGCCATTTCAGCATAATTTGCGCTATACTTGTGCAAGTAGTTGGCGAGGCTGAGCCACTTGCGCAAGTCGTTTTGGTTCTTTGTAACCGGCCAGTCCACAATGGCCTTGACCTTAGCGGGATTGGCTCAAAGGTCACGCTTCCGAATAAAGCACCCTAAAAGCATTTCTGCACCGAAGACGCACTTATCGGTATTCGCATTATTCGTGCGCATGCACTCGATCACCGCTCTTGATTGGACGATGTGATTTTCTTCATCTGTCCTTCCGTGCTCGCAAGGCTGTGGACGATGTGGTTTTCTTCATCTGTCCTGCCGTGCTCGCAAGGCTGTAGACGATGTGGTTTTCTTCATCTGTCCTCCCGTGCTCGCAAGGCTGTGGACGAAGATGTCGCCGAAGTATGTCTGTGCATACGCCCGATGGGGTCTTAACAATTGCACCACGAGAAAAATGTCGCTGGTGCATTTGACAGCCGTTGAAGCATCACCAGCCAATCCCAGAGCATCCCGCTCGGAGTACTCACCGCTGTCAGCGGAAACTCACTCGCTCTGATGAGCAAGTGGTTATTACCATCGACCAAGTCAAGTGCTTTTTACAGCCAACCATATTCTTCTGGAGAACATCCTTTCTAGGAATCGTCGTTTGTGCCAGAGCGGTGGCAGCCAATAGCATATTA